AAGGAAACAAGTGTTCAAGTCTGAGAGGCAGAGAGGACCCTTCCCAAGACCAGTAAAAATAGACCAATACCCCGGTATATAATAGTGAAACTTGCTAATCTTAGAGCCAAGGCAGCTATCCTGAGAGCAGCTAGGGGCAAGAGATTTCTTACCTATGGTGGGAGGAATATCAGAATAATGTCAAACCTGTCCACAGAGACCTGGCAAGCCAGAAAGGGCTGGCAAGACATAATCAGGGTACTAAATGAGAAGAACATGCAACCAAGATACTTTATCCCATAAGGCTGTTATTCAGAATGGATGGGGAGACAAAGAGCTTCCAGGACAGGCAGAAACAAAGAATATGTAACCACCAAGCCTGCCCTGCAAGAAATAATAAAGGGGGATTCTATAAAAGTAGAAAGACCCCAAGAGTAACATAGACCAGAAATTTACAGAGACAATCTATAGAAACGGGCTTTACAGGCAATATGATGGCACTAAATTCATATCTTTCAGTAGTTACTCTCAATGTGAACGGCCTAAATGTTCCCATGAAACAGCATAGGGTTGCAGACTGGATACAAAGACAGGAGCCATCCACATGTGGTCTACAAGAGACTTATTTGGAACCTAAAGATACCTCCAGACAAAGTGAGGGGACGGAGAACCATTTATCATGCCAACAGACCTCAAAAGAAAGCTGGGGTAGCAGTTCTTATATCAGACAAATTAGATTTTAAACCAAAGATTGTAGTAAGAGATGTAGAGGGACACCATATCATACTTAAAGGGTCTATTCAACAAGAAAATCTACAAATTGTAAATATCTGTACCCTCAACATGGAGAAGCCAACTACATAAGCCAGATGTTGACCAAAATAAAGAAACATATTGATAATAATACATTTAATAGTAGGAGATCCTAACATTCCACTCTCAGCAATGGACAGATCATCTAAGCAGAAGATCAACAAAGAAACAAGAGCTTTGAAGGACACGTTGGACCAGATGGACTTCGTAGATATGTGCTGCAGAACATTCCACCCTAAAACAACAGAATGCTTATTCTTCTCGAGCACACATGGAACTTTCTCTGGAATAGACCACATATTGGGTCACAAATCAGGCCTCAACTGATAACAAAAGATTGAGATTATTCCCTGTGTGTTATCAGACCACAATGTCTTGAAACTGGAACTCAATCACAAAAAAATTTGGAAGGAATTCAAACATGTGGAAATTAAAAAGCATCCTACCAAAGAATGATTGGGTCAACCAGGAAATTAAGGAAGAACTTAAACAATTCATGGAAACTAATGAGAATGAAAACACATTGGTCCAAAACCTATGGGATACTGCAAAGGCAGTCCTTTCAGCAATGTGGCAGAATACAAAATCAAAACCACTATGAGATACCACCTTACACCAGTTAGAATGGCAAAAATTAACAAGACGGGAAACAACAAATGTTGGAGAGGATGTGGAGAAAGGGGAACCCTCTTACACTTGGTGGGAATGCAAGCTGGTACAACCACTCAGGAAAACAGGATGGAAGTTCCTCAAGAAGTTAAAAATAGAGCTACCCTAGACCCAGCAATTGTACTACTAGGTATTTACCCCAAAGACACAGATGTAGTGAAAAGAAGGGGCACATCCACTCCAATGTTCATAGCAGCAATGTCCACAAGAGCCAAACTGGAAAGAGCCAAGATGCCCTTCAACAGACGAATGGATAAGGAAGATGTGGTTCAGATATTCAGTAGAATATTACTCAGCCATCAGAAGAATGAATACCTACCGTTTGCATCAACATGGATGGAACTGGAGGGGGTTATTGCTCAGTGAAATAAGTCAGTCAGACAAAGACAGTTATCATATGGTTTCACTCATGTGTGGAACATAAGGAATAGCACGGAGGACCGTAGGGGAAAGGATTGAAAATTACAGGGGGAGAAATCAGAGAGGGAGATGAAACATAAGAGACTATGGACTCTGGGAAACAAACAGGGTTTCAGAGGGGAGGCAGGTAGGGGGATTGGGTCGCCGGATGATGGGTATTGAGGGCACGTGTTGTGATGAACATTAGTTGTGTATAACACAACTAATGAATCATTGAACACTACATCAAAAACTAATGATGTAATATACGGTGGCTAACTGAACATAATAAAAAAAAATGAAGAAAAAAAATTATCTGCACCTGAACTCTTGTGCGGGCTTCTCCAGCCTAAAAAAGCTGATAGTGAGTGGTGCCTGGCTGGCTTGGTGGGAAGAGCATGCAACTCTTGATCTTGGGGTTGTGAGTTCAAGCCCCACCTTGGGTGTAGAGATTACTTAAAATCTTAGGGAAAAAAACAAAAAGCTGATGTGAGTTTTCATGGATACATTTTCTGAAAGTCCTGTGAAAAATACACCAGCAGCTACCAACATTGCTAAGCTCCAGCCCGTGAGTATCCCCCACTGCTGCCATTTTCCCAATGCCCTGAGAAAGTGGCCTGATGCCCTGGGTGTGCCAGGTCACCTGTTCTGACAACCCACAGCTCCAAGTTGGGTTCAAGAGACAGCTAGCAGTCCTCCTGCAAATAGGAGCATGCCTTGTTGCAGGGATGCCAGGGTTGCAAGGGGGCTTAAAACCAAGTCTCTCTTCTAATCTGTAAAGAGAGGCTTTACAACAACCTGAGGGAATATGAAGGAAGCCCCTTCCAGCTGGCACTTGGATATGAAGAATGGTAATTTAGAGAAGATAAAAGAAATATGTATTAAAGATTCTTATACACCTAGGTATTCTTCAGAATGGGTATCCATTATATGCTCCTTTTAAAAAGTCTTACCAGTTCCTCCAAGATGCTCCTTCTAGCCTTCTCTCATCATCTCCCTGTACATGTTCCCTCTTGCTCTTTTCCTTCAGCTCTCCTCCTTCCTGCCTGGGTTCAGTGCACCCCCCTCCCCCAGGGCAGGCAAGAATTTGCTTTTGAGCAGCCTCCTCTTCCCTTGTTCTGCTCCCCAGCTGCTTCTGTGTAAGGTAAAACCTGCATTCAGAGATGGATAAGTATTCTGGCCCTGAAACACAGTTCCACTTCTTGTTGCTCAGATTTTCCCTCATGGCTCCTCAGGCTCAGTCAGGACCTCTGGGAAGTCTCCCAGATTGCATACTGGGAATTTGTTAGTTTCCTAACAAACACTCCCAATAGGTGCCCCACTGTAGGCAGGTCAAGGCTGGGTTTCAGCTCACTCCCGCTCCAAACATAAAGCTCTCAGAACCACTAAACGACAGATGGTGGGCTACTTTTCACCAGAGTCCCAATCTCTTGATCCTATTCAAAGAGGAAGAGAACAGGAGATGGGGTGAGTTTCTTCTATGGCTCATCTACTACAGGAAAGGAATATAATGGTAGGTAATGGGATAACCCCAGTGGGCACCGTTCTAATTATGGATGTCAATAATTGGAATTGGAATACCAACTTCACAAGCCTAATGTGTGTGCTACTATCATCTTTATTTTGCAGATGGGGATATGGCAGCACAGTTAAACTAATCCAAGGTCACACAGAAAGTGACAGATTTGGGGTGCTAAAACAGCCTGGGACCAGCCTCATGGAAGAATGTCCTTCAGATTATGCCTGGGCAGAGACCTGGATAATTAGGGAGTTATATCTGGGTGAAGCAGTGAGACAAAAGCCTTTTAGGTGGGAGAATATGCCCAAACACATAGAGGCAACAGCCTGGCGTGTGTGTGTCAGACTTCCATTTCAGGCAGATGGTTCTGCTGGCTGCAGGATGGACTGAAATGAGTGCAAATGACCCTTTAGGAAACTTTTTGTCCAGCCAGAAGCTGATGAGGTCAGATCTAGGATGGCAAGAACAGAGATTGAGAAAGCGGCCTAATTTTGAGGAAATAAAAATCAGCAGGACTTGGTGGTTGCAATTTGTTGGGTTTGTTCATTATTTACTCAGCAGATATGTAAGAAGTCCTTGCTGTATGTTCATCAGCACTATGATAGAGGAGCTGCATGTACAATGTTAACAGCATTTACCATCCTTGCTCTGTAGAACCTACGATTCAAGTTTGGGCCCAGAGAAGGAGAGGAGGGATTCCAGGGTGCCTTGAAGATTCCATTAGGGCAGGTGGTGTTCCTCAAACCAGTGACCAGTTAATGAGGGCTACAATCATACCAGTGGATCTTGAACAGCATTTTACTTAAGCAAAATAGAACAGAACATATCAGGGTGCCCTGAATGCCATAAGGGAAATTTTGTTTGTTATATATGTGCAAGTCTATATTGGATTAACATGTGCAGTGCATTTCTTAGTGAGGGTGGAGTAAACCTTGTAAAACCTTGGGTTATGGAAAACCACACACTTAGAACTCTGAACTCCTTGAAGGGATTGATCATGCCTTACATTTTTGTTCCTATAAAGTGGAAGGATAAATGGATGAGTTATGCATGTATATGATGGATGGAATTAAAATGAACGGGTAGCTGGGTGGATGAATGGATGCACGCATGCGTGCATGGATAGGTGAGTGGACGGTGACTGGAAGCATTATCAATGAAGGCAAAAAGATCTACAGAAGTCAGTGTAGGGCATGCTGAGTCTGAGGTATCTAAGTGTTCGCAGGACAGTGCTGATGGACACAGAAGTAAAAGTCGCGGGAGAGATCAGGGCTAGGAGGCAGAGGCTCTGCAGGTAGCACTAAAGAAGTTAATTGGGGGCGCCTGGGTGGCTCAGTCGGTTAAGTGGCTGCCTTCAGCTCGGGTTGTGATCCCAGGGTCCCGCTGAGCAGGGAGCCTGCTTCTGCCTCTCCCTCTGCTTATACTCTGTGGCTTGCACTCTCTCTCAAATAAATAAAATATAAAAATAAAAGGGTTAACTGGTTTGAGGAGAAAAATTTGGGAGGCACACGAGCCCCCACGCGAGATCCTCTGCCCTCGCAGCAACTACACACCACCGCAAGCCCCGCCCCGCTACGTTTTTGCAGCCCACGCCCCCTCCCCCGAGCGCGGCCTCTGAGAAGACGTTCTTACTTACCACAAAGGTCTCCGGCTAGAAGGACCGGAAGTGCACCAGAGCTCGAGCTTGGCCGCCGCACTACCCCTCTTTTGGGTCGGTTCCTGGGTACTGGCTCAGCTGACTGCCGGATCTTATGTATCTGGCTAACTGGAGCGGCGGTAAGCCACTCAATGGCTTAAATTGATTCTCTTTCCACCTCTACCTATTCTTAGTCTTTTCTTCGGGCTGGCTGCATGGCCGGCCGGGCTCCCAGCTGTGGCGTCCCCTGGGGCATCATAGAGAATGTGGTCGTCCGTCGGCTCAGTCTACCCCTTCCCGAGTGTGGGTTAGAGCGCCTACGTCATTTTCTGTCGCCTCGGGCTGGGTGAGTAGTGTCGACACCTGAGGACACCTGGGTCGGGCAAACCCGGAGGGAAGCAAGAAACGTCAGGATCTGGGTTTGCAAGCTGAGCCTCAAAGGAAAGTGGAGGCTGCAGCCTGGTTCAGCCCCCGCTGCCCTTAGAGGACGACTGAGTCTGGACCGAGGGCTTTCGCGCCTTTGAGCTGGAAAAAGCCTGAGGGAAGGAAGCAAGGCATCTCTGCGGGCCTGAGGAGGAAGAGCAGGGTTGAAAATAGCCTTGGGTCACAAGCGTAGGTTGGAGGGAGGCCCGCAAAGCAGTCCCCCAGCTCCTCAGCTCCGAGCTGAGGCATCCACACCCACAGGCTGCGCATTAAAATGGCTGGCTATGCCACTACTCCTAACCCCATGCAGACCCTTCAGGAGGAAGCTGTTTGTGCCATCTGCCTGGATTACTTCAAGGATCCTGTGTCCATAGGCTGCGGGCACTTCTGCCGAGGGTGTGTGACCCAGCTGTGGGGCAAAGATGAGGAAGACAGGGAAGAGGAGGAAGATGAATGGGAGGAGGACGAGAACGACGATGTGGAGGGGACCATCGGTGGATGGAACAACTCTATTCGAGAGGTTTTGTACCCGGGCAATGCTGATGAGGTGTTCCAGGACCAAGAAGATGATGAACTCTGGGTTGGTGATGGTGGCGTCAGGAATTGGGACAACATGGACTATGTGTGGGACCAGGAGGAAGAGGAGGAGGAAGACCAGGACTATTACCTGGGAGACTTGAGACATGACCTGAGAATTGACGTCTACCCAGGAGATACTGGAAGAATACGATGAGAACGACCAAGAGCTGTATCCTGACACCCACCTGCCTCCTCCAGCCCCTCCACCTCAGTTCACCTGTCCCCAGTGCTGAAAAAGCTTTACACGTCGCAGCTTTCGTCCCATCTTGCAGCTGGCCAACATGGTCCAGATAATTCGCCAAATGTGCCCCACTCCTTATCAAGGAAGCTGGGGGAATGACCAGGGCATCTGCTCGAAACACCAGGAAGCCCTGAAGCTCTTCTGTGAGGTGGACAAAGACGCCATCTGTGTGGTATGCCGAGAATCCAGGAGCCACAAACAGCACAGCGTAGTGCCATTGGAGGAAGTGGTGCAGGAGTACAAGGTGAGAGGCACAAGGGGTAAAGAGGGTGGGGGGTTGAAGGGAGTGGAGAGAAAACAAGGGGAGCTGGGAGAGATGGGTACTTGCTAGTTGAACCTCTTTTTGTGAGAGATGAGGGCACAATAATGGAGATGGGCATATGTAGAGAAAGGAGACAAACTGGTTGAGGCTGACTGGCTTCCCCAGGGGAAGCTAAGCAAAGACACAACAGTCACCAGAAGCTTACTACTGTTATTCCCTTTCAATCTGAGTATAGGTGACATATCCCTAGTATTTGATTTCCCTCTGTTGTGTCCTGAGTCTGTACCTGACCAAGATCCCAGGACCCTTAACACATTAGAAATGGAAAGCCATAATACTTGTAGATAATAGACATTTGGGAACTCAGAGCAGTGTCAAAACAGATGACTGGAGAAAAAACACATACAAAAAAACATGACTGGTATTGATAGGCTGAAATGCCAGGTTTGAGTCCTGGACAAATTAAGTGCAACTGGACACACGCCCTTCCCAAAGTCTGAGGTTGCTTCCTCACCGTCAGTAGGGTCCGTTTTCCCTACAGAGGGAGGCAGAGGACATAAACATCTTTTTGATGGATCAGAAGCCTCATGCCCTAATTACTCTCCTTTCCTGGTATTTTATCACAGTGAAAGGAGTGAGGGATTTAGGAACAGATGACCTGGCTCTGCCACTTACTGTCTAATCTTGGGCAGGTCTCTACCTCTTAGCTTATTTTCCCCTAAATTAAGATTAAGAGATCATGTATGTGAAAGTATTTTATAAACCATAAAGCACTAAGCAAATGTCTGTTTTTTTTTTATATTCCTCTAAGTTGTCTTCTTTTCTTTGGGTTCTGATTTTGTTAATACACTGCCGAGTTATTACAGAGTTGTCTCAATGACAGCTTCCTTACCAAAAGCCTAGGTGAATGTGACTCCTAGCAGTACCCAAGGAAGGAGAGAATGTCTCAGGCCCATAAAAGTCTTATCCTGGATATTCATTAGCAGCTGCTCACATTTCAGTGTACTTTACAGTTTATAAAATATTTCCTCATGTTCTCCTATAGTAGTGGTTTTCAAATTGTGGGGGTTGACCAATTAGTGGGTCTTAAAATAAATGGGTCATGCTCAGCATTATTTTAATATTAGACAATACATCAGAGTGCATGGAACATACTAAGGTAAACACTGTCTTACGTACACGTGTGTATACTTGGTCTGAGAGTAAAACATTGCTTACTCTGGATTGCAGTCAAAACATAAACAGAACACTGTCCTAAGACATCATACATTAGCTATTATCATACCCTTCCAACTTATAGTTACTGGTAAGTGGACACATAGGACACAAATCTTCACTACAAATCACTGCTAATTTTATCAAACGAACTTGACTTTAAGCACAAACCCTAGCACCATGCTTTCCCCAGGGTAACAAAGGTTGCTGCCCCGAGAAACTATGTCCTGTACTTCTGGGTTTTAGTATACTGAAGGTGATGTAAGAAGGTAACCTTTCAATCCTCTGTTAGAATTTTCTGAAAGGATTTCAAAACTGAAATTTTAATTGAAAGCCAATTTAGACAGGAGAAAAGAGATGGTCTATTCAACCAGAGAAGCCATAGAACACTCTTACTTATAAAGCATACCAGTAAATATAAATAGCAAAACCAAGTAAAACAAATTGGGGATAAACCCTTTCAAAATATAGAATATTTAAAAGAAAATACAACTTTTATGTTCAAACATATACCAGAATTTAGGTAGATGGTATTGCCAAACATAGGAATTACATTAAGGAGGTAAAAATTTTTTATGTATGTATAAACTTTTAGTAATTGATGACATAGTTTTGTTACTGCCTTTCATTGCTCAACATATAACATTACAGTAGCATAATTTAGAATTTTACTGAATAAACTCTCATAGTAATAGTTATCATTATAATAAACTTTTTGTATAATGGTTTATTTAATATTATGCATTATCCATCACACAGTTCTGGTTACAGTGAATTTTTGTCAGCTACCAATTCAACACATTTTTTATCTACTTTGGAGGTAAGCAAGCTTTTTAGTTTTAGGGACTGAGTAGAGTGTTGTCACTCACAGACTCAAGGAATAGTCAGTGATTTTTAGGAATAGGAGGGAAAGGCATTCTCTCCCTTTATATTATAAATACATTATATTAGCATTGCAGATATGGAGAAGAGTTATAGTTTACAAAATTATATTTAGTGTTGTAATGTTAAAAAGAAAAAACATTTCCTAAGAAATAAAGTTGGAAAGAACTCCTTGGCTGGTGGGAGTACAAAGATAGAACAAGCAGCATTCAGAGTAAGGCCTATAATTAATGAGGTATGACAGGTTGGGTAACTGCAGATGTTCACTGTGGGTATGGTGCTATTTATACTGCTATTTTTATAGCATATCCAAGACAGTTACGTTGTTTGGAGGTCAATGTTCTTTAAAGTTTAATTTTGTATAAAAAGAGGCTTTTTAGCTCTGAAAAGCTTACTTATTTGCATCTTCCATTTTGTCCATCCCATGAGTTAGAGTTCATCTTGACTCTTCAAGCTAGAATCAGAGGATTCTGAAAGTAAGGTCATTTATAGATTTGACCAAGGGCACCATTAAATGGTGTCAGGTTTTAGGCGGCAGATGGGTGTATAAAAAGGAAATGAACAAAGATTTCACTTCTTGGGGCTCAGGCATAACTGGATGCCTATATTTGCTCTGCCACCCAGCTGCCGCCAATAAAATCACTCATCGTTCTCCAAGAGGGACCAGATGCTTCCACCATCAGTACTCCTTTTTCTCTTTTCTCCTTTAAGGTAGCTAAAGATGGCAGCCGAAAAATTTTTTGAGGCTTTTATCAAGTATATATTCACGTTATGACGCAGAAGATAGGGTGAACTTCTTCAGTTGAGTTACCTGAAAATGTTGGGCAGTGACACCATGCCAAACACTGTTAAATTTATGCTATAAAAACAGTGGAGTATTCTGCAAAGCACAATTCTATGCAGCTTTAAGATTGGACAGTATTGGAATATTAACAGCAATCTTCAAAGGCTGTGAAAGCATAATATTAAATAGCCCTTTTAATTGCAAAGGAGAAAAAAACGGACAAACTTGTGAAGCCTTGCATTCCAAGTGCCGCCACAACTTTGAGAGGAAATTGAGGAATTCCAGACTTTCTTCATCTACTTCTGCAGTCTTAACTCTGGATTGATGACTGAGTATATCAAACTTCAGGTTTTAAAAAATATCAGCTCATCCTTCTTTGCTTAGTTGAGAAGAATCTACTGATAAAAATGTGCTTTGCTTATGTTTAAAAGAGGCTTTAAAAACTGTGAGTGTACTGGTTTCATAAGCCTAATACTTGACCACTAAAGACAATATTTTTGAAGCTGTAGCAAATGAACTGAGTTGGAGGAAAATTATAATATTATAAGGGTATCCATTACAGTAGTGTTTTAGATCTGGGTTTTTGGCAAAAACTGAAGAAAACTGTGTTTAAGATGTACTGTAGCAATCACCACCAGGCATCAGCTTCCATCATCTGGCCCATAATCTACTGGAAATCTTCACCTGTCAGTTAACCTTTGTGAAAAACGGTAGATTCGATCCCAGTTTGCCTTGATTTTTGAAGATCTGTTCAGAATGCTGTTGGAGAGTATTTTCTGTTACATACTGAGGTTCCTTGGTTGTCAACTGTATTCAGCTGAATTTATGGACAGAACTGATTTTGGAACACCAATGACAAAACAACCCTCTGATTTTGGAAACCACCTAAAGAGAATCTGTACTTTAAAATTTCATAAATTAAAACTTTCAGCAGAATTTAATGCATTGAAGCTTAAAACACATAGACCGTGAAATGTCAGAAGGCAAGCACCAACATCCCTGCTTGTTTTGAAATACTTTAAGCAAAAAAAAAAAAAAGCAAAACTTACCAAAAATCCAGCTACACAGAGCAAGCTCATACTAAAAATGTCCAATTTGCTTGGCCATCTTTGAAGGACTAGATTCATAAAAGTTATTTCAAGAAAAAAATATGAAATATCCAGAACTATTTTGGGTGATTCTTCTTGACGTTGTTCTTAAAACCTACCCGTGGTAGCTTTTGGAAAGAATGTTTTCACTGATATTTGGTCCTCACTGAAAGAACTTCAAGAGGAGTATGTAAAACTCAAAAGTCTGATTGTTTTGACTAGAAACTTCCAGATAAAGACTCTAGAGAAATTGGGATATAAAATGTCTAAAAAGATGAGAAGAATTTATTCTGTTTTCTCTTTACATCTTAAAAGCTTTTTTGGGGGGAGGGGGTATATCCAGCTTTGGGGAGAAAGCAGTACCAGAGTATTATTAAAGCAGCTTGTGTTTTGTTACATCTTCTACACCACCCAGGAAAGAAAAGTTAAGGCTTAACGGTGACTGGGTTATCACATCATCTGAATAAATTTTGCCTTCCAAAATTACCGTTGCTTTGATTTTTAGTCATGATACTTAATTGTGAAATTTTAAATACCACTGAAGGTGGGAAAATGTGAGATTTTTAGGTAATATGAGAAGTAGAGCTATGGGTTACAAAAACATTGAGAAAAACTGGTATATCCATATTCACCAGATACTCATCTGTTTAATGAATGTTTTCCCTACTAGGTTCAGCTGTTGACTGCTGTATCACAAGTCAGACTGTTTAAACTTGCTCCTCGCTACTCCTGTGGCTGTACGTGGGACCTCATCTTTAAACAGACTTGCTACACATCTGAAATCCTCATCTCCAGTTGCATTAGCTCTTAGCCTTCTAGTGCAGTCAAATACACTCGTTATACCTGCCCTTCAGTTTTATGGAGGCCACAGTTCCAGACTCCTAATTTTTTTCCTTCCCAATTTAATAGACACTTGCTAGCCTTAATTATTATCCCACTGAGCCTGGACCTCATGAGTAGTCGGGACTTTAAGAACTGATCTACACTGTAGTCTAGACCTGTTTCTCAACCTCAGCACATTGACATTTTGAGTAAGATAATTATTTTCGGGGGAAGGGGGCTGTCCTGTGCACTGTAGGATGCCTAGCAGCATCCCAGGACTCTACCCACCAGATGTTAAGTAGCAACCCCCCTACCAGCTGTGAAAACCACAAGTGTCTCCCAACATTTCCAAATGTCTTGTGGAGAGGGGTGAGAGGAACAAAATCATCCGTGGTTGAGAACCATTGGTCTCTACTCAAGGAAAGTGGTCAAATCCACAGATGTGCCATTACCAGCTTTACTTATGCCCTATAGCCAGTGACTGACCTACGTGTTTTAAAAAGTGTTCAATGGAAGAATAGCTCCACCTAGCTAGAACCTTATTAAACGCAGTCTTAGTGGATTCATAGATATGACTCCTACTTCTCCCAGCTCTTGGCAGGCAGGTGGCAGAGTCAGCAGACCTTTTTTTAAACCAGAGCTGCCTTTGTCACTGCCATTTGGGAGAACAAGGACTATGACAGATAAAGCAGTGTATGAAATGAAGATCTAGAAATGATGAGTAAGGCAGTCACTTCAGCAAACATCAGTTTCAGCACAGCCAATCACTTTGACGGTCATTTTTTTTGCTTTGGTTTTTAAGTATTATGCAGAACTTATAAAACCAGAACCTGTCTGCTCCTGTTGGTGTGCGTGGCCCTGGAATCACACATATAATATCAGCTCCTAAAGCACTTCCTTAAAACCTAGGTCTCTTCTGCCACTGGCCATCAACCTCTGGCCCCTATGCCATGCCTCCAGAAATCTTTATAGGACCTGTAGTTCTATGCTATTCTCTACCCCCAATCCCTGACCCCCCCCCCTTGAAAGTTACCCTGTAATAGTGAAGTTATTACAAACATTTACTGACTGATAAAATAGGATAACAAATAGGGGGACATAAGACAGCCTGCTATACCAGGTCTAAAAGAACTTTACAACAGTGGAAGTGTTCTCAATCTGTGCTGTTTGATATAGTAAGTACCACTCAAGCTACCTTGAGCTTGAGCTCTTGAAATGTGTCTAGTCCAACTCAGGAACTGAATTTTTAATTGTATTTAATTTTAATTAATTTGAAATAGCCATACATGGCTAGTGGCTGTCAAATCACAATGAATTGTACAGTTCCATAGAAATAAGGCAGGTTGAATTCTGGTCCTTTCTAGGACTCTCAGGAGTAGAAGCAAGTCCAAAGGGAAGATGAAAAAGAAGTGGGAACTCTCTTTTCTCAATCAAGAGAGGTAGGCTTAAAGGTGGTATTTTGGAGCATAGAAGAAAATATTTAAAAGAAGGCCTTCTTGTATTTTTTAAAAATGTGACTAAAAGGGCGCCTGGGTGGCTCAGTTGGTTAAGCGACTGCCTTCGGCTCAGGTCATGATCCTGGAGTCCCGGGATCGAGTCCTACATCGGGCTCCCTGCTCGGCAGGGAGTCTGCTTCTCCCTCTGACCCTCTTCCCTCTCGTGCTCTCTATCTCTCATTCTCTCTCTCTCAAATAAATAAATAAAATCTTAAAAAAAAAAAATGTGACTAAAACAGTCTTGAACCAGTTCCACTTGTGATTCATGTGGATCACATGTGAGAAATCTGATAGAGGAAAACTCTAATAGGAAGTAGCTAAAAAACAGTTTTACCCTCTTCCCAAAAAAGAGCCAGGGCTGGGGCCTCAAAATAGGAGGATTGTGAGAATAAATAAGGTTTTATTTGGTGCCTGACTTTTTGACAATGGGATGTGGGGCAAAACCTAGCATTAAAGTAGGTAAGTGGGTTCTTCCCTTTCTCCTCTCACACCTAAATCCTGACAGAGGGTGATAAAGAAATCATGGAGTCCTAGAAGGGAAAGCAGTCTGTACTGGCAGTGATAATGAGAAAAGAGGAAGTGAGAGGTTTTAGGAATAACAGGGCTGAAAAGGAGGAGACTGAGAGCTAAAAGTGGTGACAAATTTAACTTTTAATGATACAGTCTTTGCCCACAAACCACAGTCCTCAGAGGTACAGTGTGAGAACCCTGGGCAGGGGGAAATAGCTCATCTTGGCATGTGAGAAGTTGAAGATGTGACAGTAGACCAGCAAAGAAGGAAATGGCCCTCTAAGTTACTACTCTTCTTCCCACCTCTATCCCTCCCAAAGGAGGAAAATGAGCTAGAAATTGCCTTAAAAAACAGGGAGGGGCTTATTCTTATTCTTCCATAGCTTAGGCCTTCCTAATCTTTTACCCCATCCTAAAGGACTCAGATGCGGTTGGTCAGAGACTTCTGATTGACAATTCTACTTGGTACCAAGCAGGGCACCACAAAAATGAAGGACAAAGGTCACCTGGAAGAGGATCCTGGGAGGTCACACCCCCTTTTTGTCTGCATTTCCTAAGCACATAGAATCCTCTCTCTCCCCCTCCAGCAGAGGATGGAATTTCTCAGCAAACTCTGGTTATTTAACCCAAGTATGAGCCGGAAGGACTGTTTCCTCTTCAGCTTTCTTATCTCGTGGTAAGTAGCCAGCCTCAAAGTTCCATTTCAACATATTCTCCCAACCCTAGTTCTTATCAAATTCTCTTCCAGGTAAAAAGCTGGAAAAAAAAAGGCACCTTGAGTTACCTTTTGTTTCTCCGTACCACCTAATGGTGTTTTAAATCCTTTAACAAGCTAGAGGCTTGCCTTCTCCTAGCATGTTTATAATTCTGCCTGGACTACAGCCCAGACCTGCCTGGGTCATGCCCACTTCCACAACCTCTGACTGCATATCTGCTGAAGCACCTAGGGTCTGGGGAATCCCACAGTCCATCTCCCAGGGAAAACACAACAGAATCCCTTAGCAGCTTTCTAAGGGACTGTTAGACCTCAGATTTCTGCCTAAGATGGACACTAAATATTTATCAAGAGACATAAAGAAATTATATGTGATTTTTTGCTAACATCTGTTCCTGGCACTGATTTAATATCACATCCCTACCTCTCACCAGGAATAATGGAACAGAACCTACAATAAGAATAGAACTTCCCATGTTTCCTTCCAACCTTTCTGAGCTTAATTCTTTAGGCCTCATCTTGAAAGTTTCTATAATCAGAACCCAATTCTAGACACTGGAGTGAAGGAGGTGGGGTAAGGAGGAGAGATATGGATTAGATGAAATGTTGACTCACTCATAAGGCCAGTAGGAAGTCCTCAGTGCCTCCTTTTGTAGGACTCTCATGACCCTCCTACAGATCCTCCTGTCCAGCTTCTAAACTCTTCTTTCTAGTCTTACTCTTCCAAGCTCCCCTCAACTCTGACGACAAATGACTGTCAGCAAAATCAAGTGTAGGCAGGAGAGGGATTAGATAATCCTAAAGAGACAGTCCTAGGCTTTAGAACAAAATTCCTTACTAGTCAACTCCTCGATAGGGGCTCCCTGATCACCTTGGGTTTCACTCTATCCTAACTTCCCATTTGAAACCATCTCCCAAACCTCTGCATGCAAACCACTCAATACCTCTTCCCCATGGTGATCCCTCTGCCTGAAACACCCTTTAACTACTTGCCCTTAAGTACTTAGCCTATGAGGCTAGTCACCAAGATTAGAATCTTCCATAACCAAACCCTCTACCAGCAAATGCAGCCCAAACAGACCAGTCCCTGACTTCAGGGCACTGAGGAAAAGCCCTGAGGGATTCAAATAAGGGCAAATTGAACTAAGTGCTGTGAAGGCCCCGAACACCATCACCATGAGGGCATGAAACAAGGAACCTAACCTAAACTTGAGGGTCACAAGAGGGTTTCCCTGATGTGGCAACCTGAGTTGAGACCTGAAGGAAGCTTAGATTTACTAAGAAAAGTGAGGGTGGTATATGGTGGGCCTTCCAGGCAGAATAATGTGTGTGTTCTGTGTAGGAGAGAACTGACAGTTGGAAGAGCATGGGAGAGCCAGTGTAGCCACAAAAGGAGTATGGGGCATGCCAATGCCAAC